GGGAAATTGGGTGTGAATAGGTGAACATGAAGGAGGTGGGTTTGCACGTGTGGGTTGGGCTGGGAGTGGGGAGTGAAGATGACATTCCTTTCAGAAATATTTTTATGCAAGTCTTTGTTTCCTGGATATTTCTGTTTGTGTGGCTTTTTAGTCTTCTCCTTGATAGCCAAATTTCAGTATATTCTATCTCTTCCAGTGTCTTTCAAATCAAGGCCCTTATCTAACTCCACTGTCTCTTTACTACAGGGCACCCTAATTCTAGCCACATCTTGGCCTCACATTTCCAGTCTATTCTCCACTGGGGGTGAGGGTAAGAAAGGCTTCTAAAACAGAGGGGTGCACTTGATCCATCCAACAACTCCTATTGCAGCAGGATAATGTCCCAACCCCTGGGGGCTTTAATGATCCAGACCAACCCCCCCACCTCCCCCATCATTCACACACCTCCTCTCGCTCAGTAGCCCTCCATGAGACCAGTGGAGTCTAATGGATGGAGTCTACCATTGATAACCACCTGGGGCTTAGATATGTGTGGCTTCAGAGTTTGCCAAGTAGAGTTGACCTCTGAACAATGTGGGAGTTTGGGGTGCTGACAACCCCCCCCAGGGATGCCAACCTGCCCAGGCGTGCCAATCCTTCCATTTCTACAGGTTCCACAGTACTGAAGAAATTCCGCTTACAAGAGAACCTAAACAAACCCATGTCACCTTGGATCCAATTGACATCCTAGAGAGGTCCCCGGGACAGACCAGGTGGGTGTCACCTTCTCTTTCCAACTGAGTCATGAGGTCTAGGAGAAGTTGCAACACGAGTGGCCCACCCTTGATATGCACACAACCCCATCCTGCATCCGGCATCCTTGGCACTGCAGGGCACTGTCACCACTCTCAGACTCCTTTGTGGCTGAAAGCCATCCCCACCAACTGTCCTGAGGTTTGAGACCTGGAAACATCAATACTTCGACATATTGAGTCATTTCAAGTGGGTGATCAGGGAAGGGCCAGATGAGATTTCAGAGAAGCTTAACACTATTTCTTCAGAAGGACTGTCAAATTGTCCTCCAAATCAACCTTGGGGTAGTCTGCACCTGACTTTTCAGGTGATAAATGGCCCTTAACACATGTTATAGAACTCACTGGTACACAGGTTAGAGATGGGCACTGTCCATCTGTGAGTGAATTAATTTCTGTTGTTTTCACACCAATTTGTGGTCATTTGTTACACTGGCCATTGGAAATGACTGTATGTATTCGATAAACATCAGTGAAATGAACAGGTAAGCTCAGAGCAGGTATGATGTCACTTAATGGACCCTTAGACTGAGGACTGATGTATCCGATCCAGTCCAAGACGACTGGAAAGGAGCTCTGGGTGTGTCACCAGCCTCAGCTTTCTTTCTGATAACCCAGTGGTTTTTGCACATTAGAATTCAAGTGGGGGACTTGAGTGTAACTTTTTAAAAAAAAGTTCCTCAGGTGATTCTAATGTGCAGGTAGGGTTGAAAACTGCCTCGATCAGGTTCTTCATAGATGCTAGAGACCCAGGCTCTCCAGGCCCTCCAAAATGTCTCCAGCACCGAACACTAGGGAAGTTCTTCAGCTGGAGTCCTATTTCCACTTTCAGAAGATTTCTAGAACTTTCCAAAGCTTCACTAGGGTGTGATGGATAGGTCTCCCGGAGATGTTCAGCACAGGTCTTCCCAAGATATGTCAACTTTGGCATGTGGATTGTTTTGAACTGAGACTTCAAAGGCTCGTGTTAAAAAAAAAGGAAAGAAAGAAAGAAAAAAAAAAAAGGAGGGTTCCTGTGTTCCTGTCCCAGTATAGTTCAAGCTTTCATGAATTCTTTCTCCTATGAAGAATTTTAGCCAGAATCTACTTTCCTCAGATGATGTTCCTGAGAACAGGAAGCCGGAAGCTGCAGAGGGAAGCTGTGGTTGCTGAAGAGGCTCTAGGAGCGGAGGATATGGAGGGTCTGAAGACTATAAAGCTTGGAGAGCTTCATTAGAAACTGTTCCCCTGCACTGGTCGTAGCAAAGAGCCTGTGCTGCCCTCTGCTGGTGTTGGGGAGAGGCACTTAGTCCCTCCTCTTGGTAGGAGGTGGAGTGAGTGACAGCCTGGCTGGGAGGGAAGCGGCAGTCACAACTTGTTCAATTCAGAGATGAGAAAACCGTCAATAAGCTCACGCAACTGGTTTTGGCTTAGTCGGGGCCAGGGTTCCTGTAAAGCCGAGTGTCCACACTTTGGTATTCTGACATGTGGCATCTAAAAATTGATACGCAGCAGCTTGGCCTTTTCTTACTTCTTCCTCTGTTCTCACTTTCTTCTGCCAGCCCTTGGGGAATTTACATCACTACCCTTCTAAAAAGGGCTTCCCTTCTCCCTGCCTCCCTCCCTCAGTCTTGCCCAGTCATTGCTTTGTTTTGGTCAGAAGCCAATAAAATAAAGACACTTTCAAAGTTTTAGAAGGCTTGAAGGATTCTGGGTGTCCCCAGCTTCTCCCTGGGGACTTCAAGCCCCAGCAGGCTGGTTATTAAATGGAATCCCTGACAAATGCAAGGGCACCCTCTGGGGGGGAGGGATGCTTGTGCTTGGGCAGAGACTACACAGGAGCACAGATGCTGGGCCTTTGCCTGCTGTGAACCCAGTACCAGACATGGCTCTTCTACAGGCCAACGACTCCGCATGTGTCCATCCCCTCTCTCCTCTGTTAGCCCCATCTTCCCCTCCAGCCACTGCCAGAAAGGGGGAATTCATAAAGGGAAGGTCTCTCCAGAAGAGAACAGCAAATGGCAGACTCTGTACTCAAGCAGAGTCTTAGATAACTTGCATCTCCTGGGCCAGTCAAGCCCAAGTGGCAGTAATAAAAGATCTTCGTAGGAAAAGAGTTCCTTTGCTTTCTTCCCATAGATTACCTGCTAACAGTGATCATCAGGGAACATTTAACCTATCTCTCAACCCACCCCCAGCTTAATTTTTTATAGATGAATCAGTGGACACCCAACTAGATGGCAGAAACAAAAATCAGACATTTTATTTCTTCTAGAATGTCCAGCAAGTTAGAATGAAATTTTATTTGGAGGCCAAAAGAGTGGGTAGAAGGTATAGGGACAGCAGGCTAGATCACATAGGTCTTGCCACAAGAGTAAATTTGGGTTAGCCTCTTTATTTAGTGCAGTGGTACATTGGAGGATTTTTTTGTTTTTTTAATGCTAGAGTGTTTCAAGTAGGGAGTGTGACTGATTTGGATTTGCCTTCTGTACAAAGTCAGGTTGGAAGAGGCAAGAGTAGAAGCAGGAAGAGGTTCACCAAGCAGGAAGAGGAAATCACAATGACTTTGTAAAGAGTGGTAGTGGTGGAAATGAAGAGAAGTGGTATGTTCTAGATGGACCCTGAAACTTAAAAGGATTTGCTGTAAATTAAAGGACACAGAAGCATCAAGAATGACTAGAGTTTGGCTTACACTGCTGTGAGTGATGGAGCCATTGCCTGTGCCAGGGAAGATTGGGGAGGAATTTGGCTCGGGACTGGGGAGTGGACAGCCTTGTTCTAGGGAGACAAAAGGAGCAGAAACATACTTTGTTTTTAAGTACTCTGGGTGACAAAATATTGGTTTCAGAAATCCCAAAGTCAATTGCATTATCATCCAACCTTAAATCCAACAGTGAGGCTGGTGGGGTTGAACTGCAGAGAATCTGTGTACCTATTGGAAACTCACAAGTGGCCCTGAGTGGGCAAAGACCCCAGAATGCCCACAGTGAAGCAGGCACCAGGTTAAGAAGGTGCAGACAGAGCCACCGGTCACCTGGGATCATGAAATGAGTCAATATCCCAACTCTACATTTATCCAATAAAAATAGCAACTCTAAGATGGTAGACTCTTAGGAGACTAGTTGAGTCAATCACCATGAAAACCTGAAGCCTAACACAAGGTGTAGATTATTTAAAGAGAAGGAAACTGTGTAAGCTGGTTAGGAAGGGAGATACTAGAGAGAAAAGTCCCCATCAGACAGAGTTCCAGGAAACTTCCAGGCCTGCCCCCAGAACTTTAGGGAGGGGAAAGGAACTGGCATTTGAATTCAATCACCAAGGTTCAGTGATCTGATCAATTACCTCCACAGAACAAATAGGAAGGGATTTTGGGAGCTTTCCACTAAACAAGTGGAAAGGGGGAGGAATCAAGGCTGGAGAAAGCACAGAAGCTCCAAATCCTTCCCACCTCCCTTGTCCTGTGCATCTCACCTATCTGGCTGTACCTGAATTATATTCAGTTCCCAAGGCTTGTTATAAAAGCAGTAATCCTGGGAGTTACTAGTGGGTTTCCCAAAGTCTGTGGATGGCTCTAGCAAGTGCTAATAGAACCTGAGGAGGAGGTTCTGGGGACCTCTGATTTATAGCAACATGTTTTTGTACAAGCAGAAGTGAAGGGGGGAAATCTGAACTTGTAACTGGTTTCTGAGTGAGGAGCCATCTCAAGAAACTGAGTCCCTAACCAGTGGAACACGATGATGTCTCCAGGTGGACAGTGTCACAACTGCCCTCCATAAGGGCTGACAATTGCTTGTTGGGTGAGGAAGGCCCCACACTTGCCCATGTTGGATTTGGTCCAGGAACACTTTTAGGCACAAAATACCAGCAAGAATTGTCCTGTTTGCCGATAGAGAGGCATAGCAATGATGTTCCTGGGGAAGACTCTGACATCTGGAAAATGACGTTGAAAATTATTACTTGCTTAAATATATAAATGCTGAGCCTGTAGAAGATGCCCACATCAAAATGACTAAATTTCCACTTACAGAGATTTATGTCCACAGCTGTTTGAGGCCGTGGTTAGAGGGGCCATGGAAACCGCAATCCATCACTACAAAAAAAATGTATCTTTTCAAATCTTGTTTTTAAAGACCAGGACAGGATGTATTTTTTAATAATGCTGTGCTATCATAGAAACAATTGAAGAACTGAATATTTAGAAATGTACATTTTCAGTTTAATAGATAACTAGAAGTATTTCTAGTTATGATTTTGATGATATCATTTTCCCATTGATACAATCTCGAGTGGGCAGCAATAGACAGATCAATGAAAACAACATGAAAGGCAAAGTCAATCTTTGCAAATAGAGGAGGGAGAACAGCATGACGCTGCCCACATTTTTGGACTCTCCCCCTGGAGAAGAAATCAACATGCCTGATTTCTGGTTTTTGTGTCTGGCTGCAGAAAAATGTTAATAATGAATAATTACAAGAGAATGAGTCTTACTAACATCTTCATTCTCGTTCACGAAGTGTTAGAAAGGATTGTCCAGGATATTAACTTTCATCAGGAATTTGTTCTTTTGAAGCTCCTGTATGTTTACCTTGCCCGACACAATTTTTTCCCAGGATGGGAGACTCAAGAGTGTTTGAAACCATTGGTCTTCAGTGAGCTCAGAGCTGGAGTACCACCATTCCTAAAAAGGGTGATAGAGAACCCAGAATTAGTCAGTGCTCCTCGACTTGTGTGGCCAAGCAATGGTTAAATCTTTTAAAAGTACTAAACCCACAATTGAGATGGAAAAAAAATGTACAAAATGTTGTAAAAATAAACTTTTGTAATAAAAAAAATTAAAAAAGAAAAAAAATCTTAAAAAGAAAAAAAAGTACTAAACCCATAGACAAATAATGAATTTTGCTGTCCAAACTAGGATACGAATGCAAGACTCTCTAAAGAAACACATAGAAGTCTATGTTCATTCACGCATTCAACCCACACTGAATAGAAGTACTGTGTTGGATACTAAGCGAGATTTTTGCTTTCTAAGAGTTCACTTTATCGAGACAAGAACAACATGTGCACAAAAGTAACACAAAGTAGAAATCAATGAGGGCCTTGAGAGAGAGGTGGAATTCTTGCCAACACGGATTTGGACGAGGGGAGGTTTCATGAGTATTCAAAGGGGAAGAGAAGGTGCTTGCCAGTGGACTACAGATGCGTTTCCCTCCCCTATGGTAAGAGTCCAGAATGGCCTAAGATGGCCTTCTATGCATGGTGCAAGCTGACCAGGTCTTTGGCTTCTGGGACTGCCCTTAAGAGAGGGTGAGCATCCCCAGCCCAGCAGCCCAGTGGCACATACTTTGCTCATGTTCAGCCAGCATTTCTCCAAAGTATTCCCTTGTGTCTCGGAGAGCTCTAAAGCCATGTTCAGGAAGTGGTCGCAGTTCTGTCCATCTCCCATGAGAATACAGACATAGGACATCAGGTGATAGATCCTTGGGTAGAAGACAGGGCCAGTGGTAGCTTGCGTCACCAGACTCTCCAAGTTCTAAGGAGGAAACAATATATTTTGATCAGAAAGGGGCTTTTTCCTTCCCCTGATGACTGGAGGACATTACAAGGATAGAAGCAATGTTATAGCACAAGTAGAGAATGGTGGAGAGCAGATGAGGAACGTCAGTCTTCTGGCTTCTGTGGTCCACCCCGACCAAGGATGAGGTGGATATGAGCGGGTTTCAGGACAGCACTTTTAGGCAACCACTTAAAAATTATTTTTTCTTCTGATTAACAAAGTAATCATTATTCAAAATTGGGGGGGAGGGGTGAGGAGGATGAAAAGTACAAAAAATGATATTCATCCATAAGCCTAACATCCAGAAAAAAAAATATTTTCAATATTGGGGTACATGGTTTTCCATTTTTGATTTCTCTGCCTCTTTCTCTCTCTGTGTCTCAACTGTCATAATTGGTATCGAGTTAATCAATGAGTAACACTTTCCTTCTCTCACTTAACATCACATTATGAACACTTCTTGATGACATGATTCTTTCACCTTACTGCTCACAAAAGATGCCAGGAGCCAGGCAAGTGACATTAACAAGCAGTCAAGACAGAGCACTAGAAACAGAGGGAATCTTTTCACATTGCAGAAGTTGCCCCCAGCTTAACTGCCATGCCTTGTTAACTCCAGCTAACAGCTGCCCATCAGGAATGCAGGGCATTTCTTGTATTACCAAATACTGCAAGTTTAAAGAGTTGGAAAAATCAGATTTTTTTAAGTGGGAAATATCCGAATGTATCAACATATTTTTGACTTAGCCAATCTTCTTTTTGAAGAACGCAGTCTCTGAGTATTTTTTAATACTATAAACTTGAAATGAACAACTTTATAAATCAATGTTTGTTTGCTACCTGATGGTTTCCTTAGGACAATTCCAGGCGGAAAATACTGAGGCAGATGATATGCCTATGTTAAAGCTACTTTTGTGTACAGCCCTCATGCTTTTAGAAAGCTTAAGAGATCCCTTTAAAGTGTGAGTGTGTCTTTTCTCATGTCATTGCTAATATGATGGTCTACAAAGCAATGTCTTATTGACTTGTAGCTTTTACTACAGTAGTACAGAAGTGGGATCAAAACATTGAGTTTACCTGACTAAACTGTTATATCCCTATTTAGTCCATTGATCATTTATTCTAGAAATTAAGCACCCACTGTGTACAAGGCATTGCTTTGTGGACTGTAAGAGATGCAAATATTGAATTGCATTCATTTATTTTCTTGCATTTTTTCTACTCCTACCCTGTCTCCCTCCCACACCCCTCCTCAAGCTTCTTACAACAATCCCCTTCTCCAGTTTAAATAAACCACAAATCCCTTGAGTGCAGACTTGCTTTATTCATACTTATTGTTGTATTTTTAACGTGTGCTGTCTTTAGAATAGCTGAATTTTAGCACATTATGATTCATTAAATAAAGATGTACTTTTAAAAAATTGCCTGCTAATTTAATCTACATTTAATCTACATTTTTACATATTGCATTGTCCAAATATGTAAAAGTATAATACATCTTTATTGGTACGCAATCGATATTTAAAAGTGATAATGACAATTCACTCACTTGTCCTAGGTAATGTGCATGGCATTGGGAAGGAAAAAAGAGAAGTTATAATGAATTATATAGTGCTCAAAAAGTATTTTTTCTGAACAACAGGAATTAAGTATGTCTGGAATCCCTCCTAAGTTATTTTCTTGAGAGAGTATGTCTAGCAAATTCTATGCAAATAATGCTTTACTTTTAGATAACTAAACCATGTCCATGTCCCAAGTGAGAGCCAGTAGGATGGTTTGTGAATCAGAAATATAAATGCACATTCTGTGCCAACAAGTACAGACTCCAAGCACACAGTGAGCGCAATGAACTTTTTATGTTTTTAGAGGCAGAGATTTATAAGCTGGTGTGAATACGTGACCAGAAGAGCTGATGGGGCTCAGTGGCACGAGAGTGGTGTGGGGGCCGTGGAAAGATCTGCCTTTCTCCAGCATAGGCGTGAAGCAAGGCCAACCACATACCGCTGTTCAGAAAATCATGTTTTACTACACTTCCGTGATCTCAGTTGCTTTGCTTTGAAATATTTGAAATGTTTTAATGCTTTAAAATCACCAGCATCTGATTCTGCTCGTAATCTGAAAGGAACTTGGGATCAGGTTCTTCCTTAAATCATGAGAAGGAAGCTCAGCTGACACTTTGATCTTAGTTAAGAACCTGCACAGGAAACCCAAGCAAGTGAGTATAAACTTCTGACCTGCCGAACTGTGAGATAGTAAGTGGATGTTGTTTAAACTGTAATGAGGGGTACAGCCATAGAAAATTAATACGCAAGTGCTTAGCTTTTAAGAGAACAGGCAAACAAATGTCTAGCCAGCCCAGAAGCCAGCCCTACGTCTTCCTGGGGCTTGCCCACCCTGGGCTGCAAGTTTGCGCTCTCTTGTACCCCAGCAATAGTACCTGGTACGTATTACCTATCAATGAAATATATGAAATTTCTGCGTTCCAAAACTTAACTACCTGGATGTCTCACAACAACAGTGAAATATTACCTAAAGTTCTATTCAAGAACACAGTCTGGCAGTTTAATCTCACAGTGTATCTATGAGACAAAATAACTATGCTATATTTTAGTAGTATAGAAAGCATTTTCATAGCAGGAGATTAGCCATTGTGTATTTTATTTACTAGCAGGCTTTAGAAATGGAGATGCGTTCATGTATGTGCACATGGAGCACACACACACACAGAAAAGGACCCAAAAAGTGATGTCTCCATGCACCAAAAGTGGTTATCTTTGAGTATAAGGTTTGGGGCAATTTTTATTTCCTTCTACTTTGGGGAGCAGGGGGTGCTGCCTTCAAAACCTTATAATACAGCAGATCATTCAGCATCATTTCATTTTAACATTGACAAAAAATCCACAAATTTGGCTATCTCTGTGGTGTTTGCACATTCGCCCCATTTCTTTGTGGGTTTCTCCACAAACTCCAGCTTATTCCCACACCCCAAAAACATGCACGAGAGGCTCACAGGCATGTTTGAATTGTCCCAATCAGGGTGTGTGTGTGTGTGTGTGTGTGCACTCCTGTGTGATGCCCAATGCAGTGGGAAGGGCCTGCTGTCAAGGGCTGGGCTCCTCCTTGATGCTGAGCACCCTGAAGAGGTTCCAGCCATCAGAGACCTAAACTGGACTAATTAGCTTGCAAAATGGTGATAAATGAAGACAAACATTTGTCTCGTATTAAAGTATTTTGGTTCATTCTTTAGACATCTGGTAATTATTTTGTGACCAGCAGTATGTTGTAGCTTAACTATTGTTTATCTCCATTCACCTATGGTCAGTTTCCCAAAACTGATTGCTATTACATGATTACTTATGATAGAAATATGTGTATTCTGTTATCAGAAAAGACAATTATCACAGGAGAAAGAAACCATTTAAGGATGCATTTGCACTGGAAGGAAAGGATGAGACCTCACCTTGAGTAGCTCAACACCACTGTCCTGAGCATTCACAGATTGTTCTTCAATTTTCTTTTGCAGGTAAAGAACCTGTGCCTCCATGTACCTACTGATCCCTTCACTGTAAAGCGCCGTTGGAGTTCTTCTTGGCACTAGAATTTTAGCTCTGTTAGAAAATATGTGGAAGTTGTCCCATTCCTCAAGTCGGGCATACCTGCACCACCACAATAGAAAATTCAGTATCATTTTTGGGATTGGCTGATCTTCTGAAATGGGTCTCTCTAGAGGGGTACCTGGGCTTCTGGAAGAGGGCTGCCTGCCTACCTGGAGAAATTATGGCAGTACCCTTTGATTCATGGTTTCAGTGCCTTATGGTCTGTAAATATGACACGCGGTATAATATTGGGGGGAGGGAGCAGAGTTCACATTCATTTGACTTTACTACAGCATATTATTATAATTATTTTATTTTATCAATGGTTATTATTGTTACAATGACCATTGTTATTGTGCCTAATTTATAAATTAAACTTTATACACACACACACACACACACACACACACACACATTGGAAAAACATAGTACTTATATGGTTTGGTGGTGTTATCCAAGGTTTTAGGGGTCTTGGGACATACTCCTTGGATAAAGGTGGAGTATAGACAATATGGAACAAGAAAAGCAAGTACTTTTTTGATGATTTGAAAGAAATAGAATCCTTAGAACCATTGGGGTAATATTAACCATCATTTATTTAACACTTTGGAATATTTTAAAAAGTGGAGCAAATCAAACGTGAAGCTACACATTTCTTCAAAGTGCTCCATTCCAGAGCAAGATGGCCTAGGCCAGTATGTGTCCCATAATGACATTCTGGTCAAGGACAGACCACATATAGGACAGTGGCCCTGGCAGGCTATTCCATATGCCTCCTGGTGAAGTCTGCAACTGGGGAGCAGTGTGTCATTGGTAGAGCAGACCATCTAGGTTTGTGTCATCACTCTGTGACATTCACACAAAGACCAAAGTGCCCCATGAATTTCTCAGAACTTGTCCTGATGATCAAGGGCACTGTACTATTTAGAGAATGGGTTGCAAACTCACATCATTAGCACCACCTGGGTGCTCCTTAGAAAAGCAAACTCTGGGGCCCTCCCTGGTGGTGCAGGCTATCAAGCTATCACCAGTCACTGTGGCATGAATTCGATCCCCAGCCAGGGAGGTGACCCATGTGGCCCAGCAGACCTCTCCTGTCACTCCTGTTGCTCCCCTCAGCAGTGCATTTCAGTAGATCCCCCTGCTCTGCTCCCCAATCTATCTCTGGTGAATCCTCTCACCCCCAACCCCAACACCTGTGGCCTATACCCCAGTTCTTGTATACATAAATAAAAAAAAGGTGGAAAAAAGAATGCAAGCTCCCTGGGCCAATGCAGATATCCCCTGGAATCTCTATTGGCAAGTTTTCTAGGCAATTCTGACACCCACTGAAGTGTGAGAAGCACTGGCCCAGGACACAGTTGTTAAAAACTGCTCCACGTGAAATAGTAAGAAGTTAGAAAGACTTTTAAAGTTTAGAGTACTTGAATTTTAATTCCCAGGAACAAGTGTTTTTATTGTAAATTTTAATTTCCTTGGACTTTAGCTAGCAGGTTAAATGATTTTTGGTTTTTCATTTCTCTCAGAGAATTATGTAAGAGGCGGAGATTTCTGTTCAAATTTGGATTGTTCTGGTTTGTGTGTACTTGATGTGGGAATGTCTTCCTAATGGCACTTTACCTCATCTCAGAATCTCTAAAAATCAGACAACATGGCTTCATAGATGACTTGAGATGGGAAATAGTATAGAGAATGGCTTTCAGTCTTGGGGACAACTGTGAAAGTAATTTAATTAACCTCTGGAACCTCACTGTTGATTTACTTCCTTGAAGGGAAAGACAGAGCTACAATTTACTTAGCCACGAATTGAAGAGGCTAAGGGGAATTAAGTCACAGAGTGACCAACTAGTTGCTGGGGTTCAGAGGAAGGACTTCTTCCCTTCGTGAGCTTCCTAACACAAAGGGTGCTCGCATGCCACATCTCTTCCCTGATGCGTGCGCCGCTCTAATCCTAACGGGTGGGTTCCTTGGCTGGTGGCTTTGGAGGGAATTAGGCAGAGCTGGCACAAACACCTGCCATCCTCCACCGTAGAGGCCCACCCAAATACTCTACTGCCCTTCTGTCTGCCAGGTGGCTCAGAGAGGCCAGTTTGCTGGGGAAAATGCAGCTCTCCAGAACGGGACCTTCTCCTGAGGGGCAAGTGGAAGCCTGGGATGCACTATCAGGAAGCCCACTCGCCCGAAGATGGAGATATCATCTCCAACATCAGCTCTCTCCACAATGGTTTTCCAGGTGATGAGATCTTGGGTAGGTGGGCAAATGATGCTGAGTATCCCTCAAAACACACACCCCTCCAAAGTAAGTACTCTTTTCTCAACCATCTGCATACTCCACATGACATGTGCAAAATCAGTGCTGCTTGCACTGAAGAGCATTGAGGTGATAACACTTTTCTGGCCTTGGTTGAGGGGAAAAAACAGGTAATCCCAAAGTGTCCCTCAGTGTAACTCTACTCAGAATTGCAACCTGTTTATAAGTTATAAATAAGTTTAAAAGTGATTTATAAGTGATATTTTTCTTCCTTTTTAAAAAAATCTCATAGAACTCATTTTCAGGATTCAGCATTTTCAAATGCTGAATATGCAACAAACACATTGTTACCAGATAGCTAGACACGAATAAAGCCCCAGGAGGATTCCACTGTGGAACTTGAGGATTCTATTGTCTTCATTTTGGTGTATAAATTCCAAACACTCTTCAAATGTCCTATAAATAAAACCTAAGAAAGAAAAGGACAGGAAATCTTTGCTGGGGTCAACATCTCTTGGGCCTAGTAGCTTCAAGAGAATGCCTCTCCTTCCCCACAGGGGAAAAGCCTTAGTCTCTGATTGCAACAATCATGTGACTTCACTGCCCGTGTTTGCTGAGTTCCAGCCTCTGGGAAAACTTGTGCGTGTATGCTACACTGCCACAGCATTCACCAGGCAGAGAAAGGGCTAAATCAGCTCTCACTGCTCAAATCCAGCCCGTGGGCCTTCGTGCAACCAGGCCTTCATCCGTTCCCCCCATCTTCTTTTTGGACATCACTTTTCCAGGTCAGACTTGGGGAAGAGAATGCCCAGGTTGGCCCTCTGATTTAACATATACACCAAGGGCTGTATATGTAACCTGAAGGTTTTCAAGTAAGAACTTGTTTTCCAAAGTGTGAACTGCTACCAGCGCCTGTAATTTTCACGGTAAGTAATCTAATCCTTTACTCTAAAGCATATAGTGTCTAGGTGTATCCCACTAAAAATTAAATTCCCTATTTAAAGACATAATGTAAGACACTGTCAGCTACTATTACCAGTGCTATGAAGTATTACTAGTACTTTAACTGGACGTTTAAGTCCAACGGTTCTCTTAGATTCTTCTCTTTGTTGGTACCTTAACATTTTTGCACCTTCCAGATGGTTCCTTGGTTCATGCTTTCCCCTGTTCTGATGTTGTCCTCTTTTCCAATCCAAAATACAGTGGTCTCAAAGCTTTGGCCTTGACAACTAACACACCATACCAACACAATTACCCCACGCCCAATTTATAGTAAATTCCAGAGTCATGTTTACCAGAATAAAGCATGATGTCCAGGCAGACAAAATAGAAAAATGCCTTGCTGTAGATGTGCTCTTCTTCTACAGAGAGATCCCACAGCCACCCCAGAACCTGGATCAATTGCTTGGGTCTATGGAATAGGAAGGTAATGAGATTAAGGGGTGGTCAGAAGGAGAGGATGAAGTTAAATCCTGATTTACTCTCAGTCCTGTCCAGTAATTCAGGACTAAATGGGGGCCTTAAACAGATTTTGAACCCATTCTTAAGTCTCATACTGGCTCTGTTAAAATTGTCTTTCAAAGACAGTATCAGGGAGCAGAGTCGGGCCCAGTTGTTCCCTCCCTCTATTCTCATTTGCTTCTGCTAGGAAACATTTCCCTTTCCTCACACCTGACACTGCTGGAGACCTGATTCCTACAGTGAGGATGGCAGCTTAGAGACGATGCTTGTGAAACAGGTCTGTGCAGAGAGCAGTGGAACCCAACAATGATGTGATCAGTCCCATCATCTCGTTGGAAGCTCCAACCCTTTTCTCCACCCTACAGCTGAAACACTCAATATGACATCCACTTCCTAATATTTTGGGAAATTCTTTAAGATACATACCTGCTTTTTAAGAAGATAGATCTACTAAGCCAACAGAGGACATGATGGTGTTTGTTGGGATTCCGGAGTAGTGTCCACATCTTGTGGGCTCGAGAGCCTGGGAAGAAAACACTTCCAATGTATCTCTAGTTATTATTTCTGCTTGCCGGACCCTTCTTGCCCCATCAGCCCATACCTAAATCAATGGCCAAGTCCAGGTGACCCATTATGAGCTTGATGTAGCTCAGTGTATCAGCCACATATGACACAATTTCGATGCCCTCGCCTTTCAGGGGCAGGCTGAAGATCTGTTCCATGGCCATGACTTCATATTTGAACCACACGCCCTGGTAGCCGGCCAGCTGGTGGTACAGTGAGTAGTCCAGGTAGGCCTTAATGATCTGCAGTGACAAACACGGAGGAGAGAAGGGGCAAGATAGAGATGGAACCCAAAGCAGAAAGGCAGGGACATCGCTCAGTGTTCCAAGTCATCATGTGTTTATCAGCTTGGGAACAGAGCTGTGATTCGGCAGACCCACAGGCTTAAGTAGTGAAATTGAACTGGGATTCTGCTACCTACTTACCGGGCTGCTCGGGACAAGTTTATTGGTTCCTCTTGCCCACCGTCCTTAAAATTTAAATTTTGTGGAAAAGAGGAACAATTGCTTATATGTGTGGATATATGATTACATAGCAAAAAACCTCAAGTAACCACTCCCAAGAATAAATAGGAGTTGCCCTTTAGGCGGGAATGCAGAGGCTTGAAGGAAAAGAGGGACTTCACTCTTTACATTATGCATTTCTGGGATGTTTAATTTGTTCCAACAAGTATGTGTTAATTTTATTATTTAATTCCGAAAAGGTTGGTTTGGTTTGCTGTCTTAAAAGTGGAAGGACTAATTCCAAACTTAATGGGGAGGTTTAAGAGAAACAGGTTACTCTTTAAGTAACTCTTTAAAGTAATAAAATTGCTTCAGTCTATAAGTGCTTAAAGAGGGATGGAAAGAAAAATGTTCCTTCTGGAAAGCAGTTTATTATTAAAAAATACATATAATTTGCTTTAAGAGATACAAACAGTAGAAACACTGAAGCCCTAATGGAGGGAGTATTGAATGTTGTGGTAGGGGAAGGACTTAGAGAAGGACTTTTTCAGTGGAATTCTCCAAATCTCACAAAATCACACACATCCTGTGTCAGGCATTCCACGGGGACTTACTCAACCACAAAGCTGATCTTAGGAAGTTCCTTTATTCCTGGTTTAGAACATGTTTCAGCTAATCCTACCAGGAGGACAGGATAGCCAGAAGTGGTGCTGAAGGAGATAGAATGTTGGGAAAGGAAACACCCAAAGGTGCAATCAAACCTAGTGCTTCCTGAATTTGGACTAAGACCACTAAGTCCAATTATTTCCCTTCATGAGGAAAATACAAAATTATGCAGTTGGTATGTTGTCACATGATGAACCACAAGAGTCCTAGAAATTACTCCCTCAGAATCATTCTGGTTCTTTCTAACACAGTGCACTGCAGGCTTCACTGCTTTGAACACCCAAGGGAGCACTCTCTTGGCTCTGCTCTCAGGCACAACCATCTTGTTAACCAGTGTCTTTCATTCACTTCCCAATTTTGACTTTTTCATTTAATCCTCCCTGCCCGTCCCTCCCAACTCCCCCATGTTTTAGGAGATAGCCCCAAGTGTGGAAAATAAAAACATTTCATTCAATAACTTCTTGTCGAGCCCCTACTGTGTGCCTGACACTGTTCTAAGAGTTCAAGGGGTGAACAAGCCAACAGCCAAGGTCCCTGCTCTCACAGGACTTGCAGGGTAATCATAGGGGACGCAGATGGACACTAACAAAGGAATAAATGAGAAATGTTAGGTGGTAACAGAGCTACTAAAATAGAGTGAAGGTGAGAAAGTGAATGAGGGAGTGACTTCAAGATGAGAGCCCAGTAAATGTGAGGTCCTTTGTGTTCCACAAGCAGAGGGAACATCGAGCCAAAGAGTCTAAGAAGGAACTGAACTTAAAAGTTTAGGGAACCAAAAGCGGCTCATTACTTCTGGGTCTGGTGATTCAGAGAATTAGCAGAGGAGGATGGGTTATGGGCAGAGGCCCAGCCTGATGGATTTTATAAATACTGAAGTATTCTGGCTGAGCCAGCCTGGGCCTACTGAAAGGAACTAATGCAGGGACAAACTCCTGGCCAGGAAGTTGGACACCTCCCACATTTATAGTGCTCCTTGCCCACTTCCCTTAATTCTTGGAGAATTAAATCTATTGCCTCAGAAATACCTAGAAATGCCTCGGAAATACTTTCCTAAATATCACTTTCACTAGGTGAGTTGGATTTAGCTTAATAATCTCATGATCTTGCCTCCTGGAGTTTTCCTCATGTGAAGAGTTCACAGTTTATGACTTTATTACTGGTTCTCCAATGTAGTACCTGAGACCTCTTCAGGGAGGACATGAATAGGTCAAAGCTAATTTCATAACAGCCAGATATATACAGCATATCTTGTTTTTGGGCAATCCACAGATACATGTTTTGTTTTGTTTTTGTTTTACAAACTGAACATTCATAGCATGGGCTCACTTCATGTCAATGTGTCATATTTTGGTAATTCTTGTACTATTTTAAAGTTTTTCTTTACTATATGCTATGGTGATCTTGTGATCACTTCTCTTTGATGTTAGTATTTTAACTCTTCACCTGCAAAAAGATTTATGTCTCGGTAAAGGCACAGGTGATAGTTAAGATTTTTTGGCAACAAAGTATGTTTAATGAAAGTGTGTACATGACTTTGTCAGGCATAATGCCATTACATACTTAATAGGTTACAGCATAACGTAAACATAACTTTCAGATGCACTGAAAGTGAGTGGGACTCACTTTATTGCCATATTCAATTTATTGTCGTGTTTGGGACCAAATTGCAATAACTCTGAGATATGCTTGCATTTGTGTGAGAGAAAACAGTGAAAGATTTATAAAAAAGCCCTCCACCTCAAAAACAAAAAATGGCTGGGATCCTGTCTAGGTCATTTGTCAAGGTTACATCTGCCTTCTATAGTCTTTGAGCTACTTTAGAACTCTGAACCCCTTTTTAAGCCCACAAATTTCTGATCCCAGAAATTTAAATGCTATAGAAAACTGACAATAATGAAAATGATTCTTCTTCATAGAAATATATAGATTTCAGCAGAACACAAGTGATTATAGCTTTACATCCATTCGTCAATTGAATTCTTGGAACCAGTTGTATCAACTGACTAATTAATCAATGAGTTCAATAAAACCTGTGACATGACTTCTTTTTAACATGTGTTCTTTTAGTATTAGTCATAATTTTACTTTAAAAGAATTGTCCTTTAATGTTTTCCTTTTTTAAACCTTATTCTTTCATGAGTGCCTACTGGAATTTTCCAGAGATAAGCTATGTGATATTGCAACAGAGAGAAAGTAGAAGCAGACTGAGTATCTAGCTATCTTCTATGAAGTTAGACATTAAGCTATTTGCAAAACTTACTCCCTGTCATTCTCCCTGTCATTCTTCTCACTAGATTTTTCTTTGGAGATTTTCAATAAAAATTGTTACTTATGCTACTATGTAATGGGTTTATTAGTTTTATTAAAATATTTTTAAATGCCTGTTTTTAAGTTCATAGTTGATGATATTAATAGAAATAAAAACTACTTGGGTTCCTCTGCAATAATTAAGCATTTAAAGTGATTCTGGGACTAAAATGTTTGAGAAGTACTGGCCTGGGCAAAACAAACAAGCCAAGAAGGCTTTATTACATCCTTGTGATCTTGAGCCTGGGCTGACTTTCACTAGGTTGTTCTCTCCAAACGAGATTGGGAAATTTAAAAAACAGCTGCGTAATACTCTACCTGGAAATCGTCTTGAGTTTCCAAGGCAGTGTTCACTTGCATCAGAGCAGCCAGGTGACTAAAGTACTTGTAGTGAAAAAAGTAATTTAAGTTGTAGATCTGCCAGAGCAAGGAGAAGCAAGCGATCTGCCGGTAGAGCTGTGCCAGCCTCTTCTTCCTGTTGGGTCAAGCACAAAAGGGACTCAGAAGTCTAGTTTGGTCATCTGCTTGTCATTGTGAAGGGGCAAAGGTGTGCAGAGTCTTCACCATGGGCTTGAAGACTTGCCTCCTTTCTTGATTAACCAGGCCATGACTTTTATAATTTTCCCTACTGCAACATGGAACCACAACATAGTAGACCCCACTTAGCATCACAAGGAAACTGGCTAGAAGAAAAATGACATATTGTGCAGCCAGGTTCCCTAATAATATTTTTGCTTTAAAAATGTTGAAACCGGCCCTCCCTGGTGGCGCAGCGGGATAAAGCACAGCACTGAGAATCTAAAGCCACTTCCGCATGAGTTCGATTCCCGCCTGCCCCGGAGGTGACCACATG